TAATAAACTTTGGCTTCTTTGATTACTAATAGGCTGAATATTTAATTCTTGTCTGACAAAGATGTCTTAATTTTAATGCCACTAGAATACTTTAACTTTAACTTTAACTAACTTAATAACTTTATATGCAATCTATGCATGTATTATTGTTTGTTGACTCATTTATTATGTATTTAACATGTATAATTCAAATACTAACTGTTTCTTAAAGGGATCTGCAAAAATAATGATTTTGAAAGGATTTTTCATAACATTTCAAACTAACTCAATATTTAGGGTGTGTTTTCTGGTACAACTTGTTATGTATTTCAGTTTGTGAGGACTGTTTTCTAAAACACTGTCCTTATACTCACTGTGCAGTTAAATACCATTGATTACCAGTGGAAGTAAAGTTCTGTCTTTTGCAGGGTACACCAGTTCAAGGCAGCAAATTACGTCTTCCTGGGTACTTGTCAGGCAAAGGATTTCAGTCTGGCGAAGAGGGAACGTTGATCAGCGCTGCTGTACTGAAAGCTCGAACACAGACAATAGGTGGTGAGTAGAGAGCAACTCCGGTAGCTCTTCATCACTATTCATTATATTAACAAGTGTTTTGTTCCTGTTGTTTGGGGCAGACTTGTGTGAATCAAAGAGAATTAATGGAATGAAAACAATTTAGCCACTGTTGAAGGAAAAACACTGTTTTTATATGAAAATTTTAAATTGCAATAACCTTTTCAGGGCTTTTTAAGGATGAATTCTAGTCTGTAGAAAATAAGGGATGAAGCATTTGAGACGTCACCCAGAGGTCACTGAAAGTGTTTGAAGCCAGGAGTTAAGTTTACTGCTCCCTGCCATATTGGCAGTCACTGAGGCCAAAGAGTCAAAATAAGGGAAGCTGCTTTGGGATGATGTGGGATGAGCACAATGGAAGTCTTGTGCTTTAGTGATTGTGATTCTTCTGCCATCACGTAGGTGGACAGCTATGCAGCGAGTTGAACACACTTCCATTAAAGGTTAAAGCCTTTGTAGCTTTTAATGGAAACAGTGAAGAGTATTGATATACACCATTCTTTATTTAGCAAATGTTTTTGGCTATCTTCCCTTGATTAGGTTGCCATCTCAGGTTTTATACGGTTTCCTTATACACATTGTGTTAAGTCACCATAGATACTGAGTATACAAAATAACATTATGAAACCAGTACAGTAACAAGAAAACGATCACATTAGATCATCTATAATAGGTTTGCTACATTGTCTTTTGTGCCAGGAGCAAACAAAGAATTATCGCTTCAAGATCAACATTAAGTCGTTGTTGGACGTACAGCACAGTATTTAATCTAGTAAACGTACACATAAAGTCCATTAGAGTCGATATAAAAAGAGTCAACTATGTAAAATTAGCCCAACAGTAAGCTACTAGATATGCTAGTACAACGTTTTTAATACCTCAAAGGTCACATCCTAGCTGTAAGAAATGATTGATAATCACCAAAAAGGGGCATTTAGAGGGAGAGGGATTCAGATAAAAGACTCTTGTCAATGTTTAGATGTAAAAATTTCAGTAAAACTGCTGTTGAGCTGCCAGTGGCGGTTGCAGAGTGCCCAACTGAAACCAACTGGCAGTGGTAAAACACCTGGGTTCATTCTTGGTAGGTCATTAATTATCTTCCCTCATTTTATCTTTTTTAGACTCAAGAAAAAATTCCAGCCGACCTGGAAGTAAAGCCGGAAGCAGAGGGAGCAGTCGCAGAGGAAGTGACGCTTCTGACTTTGACATCTCAGACATTCAGTCTGTGTGCTCAGACGTGTCCGAGACGGTCGGCGACTCAACCCGAGCAACGCCGCGCTCCGCTTCCCGTCAGCACGGAGGAAAACCCTCCAAGATCCCCACTCCTCAGAGAAGAACCACTCCCACGAGCAAACTGGCCAAGGGATCCAAGCGATAGTCAGTGGCCTTGAAAAACAAACAACCCAGGAGCTAGTTGCACCCTAAACGCGTAACGGACACTGGAGATATCTAACTTAAAAAAAAGACTGCAAATGTGTTGAGTGTTATTTAAACTGTTGCGAAGATGTAAAATATTCAGTTGAGAGGCAATATGGTTTAATATTATGTGAGAATGGAATGTCAATGGCCTTGTGTATTTGTTTTTAATGTATTTCATTTTTTGTGAAAAAATGTCAAATTGTTTTTATCGTATATTATTTTATTGAAACCTGTAGAGGTTTGACGGACACTAGAAAAAAACTGGGAATGACTACGTTGTACGGTTAACTAACATTTCTTAACACTAATGAAGGGCAACACGCAGGATAGCGCTCTAAGAGTTACTGAATGTACTGTTATTTATGTTCGCTGATGTTTGGAGTAGATGGTGCATTATGGTACCATTTGAGGCACTGCAATTATCTATTTAAGTGCTATGATATACTGCCAACATGCATTTAAAGGGCAATGCAATATAGTACAATAAACCCCAGTAAGCACTGCAGAAACCTTTGAAAAACACTATTTAAGGCAAGTAGCAGAAAAACCACGTAATCATGAAGCTTTTACGTCCTGTTTGTTTGTGAGCAGCTGCAGTCCCTTGTTTTGTTTGACCTCAGCAGTGTGTGCATTGACCTTGCAGAGGTGCCACTCCATGTAGACATTCTCTTGTGCATCTATGTCAATGTATGGTTAATTTCGGTAGAGCTGAAATTGTTACTGTAACATTACTTTGTAATAAACCTGCTTGCAGAAAACCACCAGAGGCTGGTGGGGACCACAGAGTCGTCTCTGCTTTGCTCCTTTTAGCTCCTTTTGTCAGCCACGCTAGCAAACATCACCTCGGTTCGGACTGAAACATCTCCACTATTGGATTGAAATTTTGCACATACATTCATGATAACCAAAGGATGATTCCTACTTTTGTGATCCTCTGACTTTTCCTCTAGCGCTGCCATGAGGTTTACATTTTGTTTTTGTTGAAAACACAAATCTTGAAATATTTTTTTTGGCTTTTATTGCCTTTCAGAGAGCCACAAGTCAGAGCCGAACCGTTGACGGTATGAGTCCAACCCATGGCGCTGCAACATGGACTCCACTACCAAGGCAACCCCATTTTGGTGTTTTACTGAAATTATCTCAACAACTACAGATATTCAAGGTCCCTTGAGGATGAATCCTGATGGTTATTCCTTTACTATTCTATTAGAGGCATCATCAGGTCGAAATTTTAACATTCAGTTAAATATCTCTCCCTGGACGTTTATGTAGCGCCATCATCAGGTCAAAACTGAAGTTTTCTTCGATACTTCTTAATGACCAAATACCTTAAAAACAAAAAACATTCCCATCAGCCTGGTGTTAAGTGCTAATTAGCAAACGTTAGCCTGCTGATGAAGACAGTAAACATAATAACATCAGCATGTTGGCACTGTCAATGTTAGCACGCTGACGTTAGCACTTAGCTTGAGTACAGCCTCACAGAGCTGCTAGCGTGGCTATAAACTTTAGACTTGTTCTCATCTGTCTGTGTCTCTGTCTCCCATGTGTCTTTTCTTTCATGCTGCTGAACTAAAGTCATTAAATGGCCTTCAAAGGTCACCACATTGCTTCACACAGGTTTAAGACCGTGGAAAGCAATGAATAAGTTACTGGACACATTAGATCAGTAGCTCTTGAATTAGTGACACTGGCTTTATGAATGAAAACACTTTAAAGTGTTGTATCCATATATTGGAGCAGTTAAATACTGTCTGTGTGTTATTCAGCAGTAGCCTGGCTGTTAGATGCAGTGTGGTGGTTTAGATTGAAGGTGTTGTCTCCTCTGGGTGGAATGTTTGCAGAGCTTCTTGTGTTTAGCTGTGACATACTACATCTTTCTCTCACTCTGAGACTCTGCGGAGGATAAAACACTGTCTTGAATGAACATACACTAAAACCTGTGAGACTGCTTTTTAAAGCAATTATAGACTAAGTTTGTACAAAAAGTATTTTTTTCTAACTGTGCAAGTCGTGAAAGGAGACGCACAAAAGCGCTACACAGTAAAATACGTAAAAAACAGAGAGCAGATTGAGAGATGCTTTAAACAAACTTTTGCTAAAGTATCGGCATATTCTCCCACATTACTGTGATTTTCTGCTCTCAGTAGCTTCCACCTGCAGTAAGGTATGTTCAGCTACATTTCCTTAATGTGATGACTCAGTTTACTGGACTTGTACTGTAGGTGTAACTGGCCTATGAGAAGACGCAGATCCCCTGGGGACCAAAGGTGGAGTGGAGCTCAAGGGTCAGGCTCCTCTGAGACCCAGAGCATCTAGTTTGAATGGTCCTCCTGTTCAGCTCAAACACTGGCCCGGGGATGGCACTTTAGAGCGGGATATATCCTCACACTAGGAACTGGAACAGATCCATCTGCAGGAGCCCTGAGACTTTCTTTTTCAGGAATATGTGAGTAATGCTCTGTAATTTTCCTTTATTTTTAAAATACATTGCACGTAGGAAATTATAAACTAAGGTTTGTGTATAATATCTGGTTGCTTAGCAAACGGAGGACAATTGTAATTAAATGTGTAATTGTGTCCACTAATGTGGTGAAATTAGTTTGCATGGATGTAGCAATTCAGTGGATACAACGTTTGATATTGTTTTCATAGGAACATCATTGTATGATATAATTATAAAACCATAGTAGTCACATTGCATAAAAGAATAATTATATAATATATGTATGATATCTGAAGGGACCTAAAAGGAATATTTTACCGGTTGTTATTTGATATTCCAGTTGGTTAGGCCCAGAAATGTAGCATTACATGTTTTTTTCAGTTTCTTTTCTTACTCTTTCTAAATCTTTATGCTTTTATAAAATGTATGCCTAGAAATGTATATTTTTTTAACAAATTTGAGTGACTGACTTCCATTTAACAGCCAACTGCACATTCTACATAAATTCTGATTTACTGAATTACTGATTTATTTAATTGCTGTACTACAGGCACTTATAGCCCCTGACTTCAAACATTTGAAAATGGCAGCCTACAAAGATATGCTGGTGTTTGCAGCACTCTTTGTCATCTTCGGAATGACCCAGTGTCAAAAGTTGCCAAGTAAGTTTAAATTTTTTCATACTTATTCAATGACTACAGCATATTTCTCACTGCATAGAAATAAAAGACTGGATAATCACCTACTCAGTAGTTCTGTAGAGTTGTGTGAGGCTAGTCATACATGCTGTAGACCACACCCGTTTCCTGGTTAAATAAACTTATATATAAAATATGACTGACAATAATTACATATTTCATATTAATTATCTGCTCTGACTATAGTTTTTTAAATTGAACACTGTACTACCGCACCTTGACCAGCAGATGTCAGTATTTGTCAGATCATAGTCAATTGTTTGCCTCACAGCAGGTGACCCAGTGTCATATTTCCTGCTATCAGTGCCTGTGTGGACACTACGAGGTCAAAGAGGTCATCCTGGGGTTAAGCTATGTACATGAATATTTGAATCCATACAAATGAGTCTTCCTGTTACCATAATGAATCATTTAGCACAGTGTGTTGTTTTCTATCCATGGCATTCTGCTCACAGATAAAAACAGTCTGTCAACAGAAACAGTACAGTAAACCGTAGGCAGTAATGTATTTTTTGGCTTTACTAATAATCAAAGGGGGTAACTTGTTAACATGCCACAGTAGCAGGTGTCAAGATTTTCATTACTGAAGAGGTTTTGAGTTATTTTCAAGTTGAGTCATACTATTTGTAATCAGGGTCCTTCACCAGCTTTCATCCAGCTCAAAGGAAACATGCCAGCTGTGCTGATCTCATTCAAACTGCAGCACAAAGCGTGCAGTGTTTAGAATTCAGTAGCCAAATCCACCTATGAAAGAAAATAAACAGCTTCTTCACGTTAATGAGTTTAATGAATTACCTCATTGTACCTGTGAAGAGATGGCATTATTAATGACAATGAGTAATGCAACCATAAAAAAGTGATATCAGATTTAGAAGCAGTCCAGCACCCTTGATGCTGAATCAGTGTGACGTCAAACTAAGCTCAGTGTTTGTGCTGCAAGGTTTTGATCTGCTGGAGGAGTTTCATGTGCCTGAGTCGAGGGGAGTGAGGAGAGTGGACGGCTCTCAACCTGAAGCGGTGGCCTACCGTGTCAACCCCTCTATCCATCTACGAAAGACCATGAGGTACTAGACTGCCTGAGCCTAGTTATTCAGTGAAACTGGAAAATGATCAGAAAGATATAGAAGAGTACTCCAAGGTGTGTCATTACACTGCGACATTACTGTTGGGGGTTACAGGAAATGCACTTCAGATCACATAGAACCACACCTCAACATGATTTGAAACTTTCAACCAGAGTGCAGCAGAACAATGCTGCTCAGCCTGGTTTTAATTACTGAAAAGCAATTTTGCACCCATAACCCCACCCAACAATGATGTCACAAGGTCCTGGAGTACACCTGTACATCACTACAGCGAGACAAGAAATGGGAATGTGCTTTTTTCAAATTGAAGATACAAATAATGGTAGTGTGTAATCAGAAGAGATGACACAGAGTCACACAGAAATGTGTAATATGTTATGGTGGAATTGAAGTGTAACAATGCTCAATCTAAAGATGCTCTATTTCTACTTATTCATCTTCTTATAAAATAAATCCTTATGTTCCTACAAAAGCCGTTGATTGTTGTTTTGTGAAGAAAGCTCTCTAAACCTTCCTCTCGTGCCACAGTGACGTGTATCCAGAAGGACTTCCGTCCGACTACTCCGTTATCGCAACATTTAAGGTGACCAAGGACACTGCCAAGAAATCTTGGGACCTGTGGCAGGTCAGTGACCCCAAGGGACGAGAACAGGTCGGCCTGCGTTTCCAAGGTGATACCCGCTCTTTAGACTTCTTCTACACCAGCCCCCACGGGAGCCAGATGCTGAGGACCTTCCATGGTGTGGAAAAGTTGTTTGACGCAGAGTGGCACAAGTTGGCGCTGAGTGTGAAGGGCAGCCAGGTGAAGCTGCTGATAGACTGTGAAGAGGTCAGTGTGGAGTCCATTGACGAGCCGAGGCCAGTCATCCACCGAGGGTACACCTCCATTGTCAAGCGGGCTGCAGGAGATCGCTCTGTGTCTGTACGTTGACAGCTTGGATTTTTGTGTATCCTTAGTCATATTTAAAATCCCTTTGATTTGAACTTTAATGTCTCATATTGTCTCTCTCCAGGTGGACCTCCAGCAGATGCAGGTGTCATGTGACCCGGAGCAGGCTTACTCAGAGGGCTGCTGTGAGCTCTCCAGTGTGGTGGGTCAGCTCCTAATTAACATGGTTTCCCTCCCTCTGTTAGAGATGTGTATGTAGGTTTAAAACCGTTGTTTCACCTTTCTGTCATGGCAGTGTGGAGGGTATGCAGAGATCGGTCTAACAGCTGGAAGAGCATCTTGCAAATGTTTGCATGGACAGCCTGGCCCTCAGGGACCTCCAGGGCCAAAGGTGAATGTACCTGTACAGTGAATACTGGAGCATACTCATATGACAAGTTGAATCTGTATTGACATATATTTTAATTCTTTTGCAGGGTCACAGAGGTCTTCCAGGGGAAGACGGAGATCCAGGAAGACAAGGAAACTGGGTAAATAAATGTGCAGTATGTCTCTCAGTGCCTTTTCTTGCGCTGGATGAATACTTGTTCCGGTGTTTACTTGAGGTATTCTTAGCATTAGCAGCATCCCCTTCTTCTTGCAGCACAATAAAGAGTTAAACTGAATTGTAGTCAAGTGACATTGTAAAAACTTTCACTCGTGAGACAACAGTGAAGCTGTGGAAAATGGCAATAGAAGTACAACTGAGACGCGACAGGATGGAAACAGATCTGGAAGCAGAAGCGCTCAGCGATAGTAAACATAGAGGCTCCTTTCATACTCATGTCCGCTTGCTACAGATTTAGGAGGAAGCCAACATAAACATGAACCAATACGGATGTGATAATAAATTTGTTTTTGTCGTTCTGAAATAGCCATTTGCATCCTAAAACACAGGCCCTTCTGGTTTAGAATACAGGATTTAACTCATACTGGCAAGTGATCACAGGATTTCTAATGGTTTTACTTTTCCATTTGGAGGAAACTGAGCCAAATGTAATGAATCCCACACACAGGAAAACCAAGCAGTTGAGCAATAGCCATACCCTCCAAGTGTCTGGTAATGAGTGGCATTAGCGTGCTTCACTATTGTGTGAAATTTCTCAGATGTGGATAAGGCTAATGAAGTCACCGTAGGAAGGCCACATTTTGAAAGAAAGGGAAAGGTTTAAGAAAATTATAATGAACAAAGTATTCTGCTGCAGAAGCCAGTACATGCATCAGTGAATGAACAAATACACTCACATTTGTATCCTTCAGGGAGCCGCAGACGTGATTATTTCCACTTTAAATTTATGACTTGTTAATCTCTTTGATGCTTAGCAGTCAGTTATGTTGGAGCAGATCTGAGAGTCTTTTTAAAACAGTCCGGAGAACATGTGTTTAAAGAAAGAGGATTTTTTTTTTATACGCATGTGATGGTTTGGCATTTAACATGCCCTTTGCACTCAAGGAAATCCCCCATGCTGCCTGAGCAAGCACATGTACGCCTGTAGGCCCACGTACAGTTAGAGCACATTTCCAGAGCTGTACATGCTACATATTGATGTCCTGAGTTGCAGCTGTAGCTCATCTGGAGTAAACATCTGTCTTGTGTAACTCGTTAGAGTGTTGACCTCCTGCCAGCTTGTGAATCACAGAGCCCCAACATGTTTATCTCCTCCCCTGCTGGCATCCAAGGAGGGCATTTCCTGGCACAGATATATGAACTGTCCATCTCAGGTGGTGGGTGGTCCTTTGCTCGTCGGAGATATACCGCCTTAGAAGCGTTGTAAAGTTCACGGTCATGCCTCTCGCCGTACTGTCGGCCATCTCTGAGGTTAACCTCTGCCCAGCTGACTCTGCGTAAAAACAGCGTTAGGTGAGATGGTCAAATAAACTGACAACACAAAGGCATCCTGGCCTTGTTTAATCTGTTTGTTGACTCAGTGAAATAGAGCCAAGTGGAAAACACTTTTTTCCCTCTACTACTGAGGAAGTCAGCATCTGTATAAACACTATTGATCCATTCTGCTGTGTTTATGACCAATATTTCCTAAATCCTGCTGAATATGCTTGTGTATATTTTCCACTAATGTGACATTTACAGCATAATGACTTTTTATAGTTAATTACCCTTATTTTATCATATGGTTTTTACAGCTTACTCTAAAGGAATAGTTTAACGGTTTGGGAAACAGTCACTCGCTTTCCTGCCAAGAGTTAGATGAGATGATCGATACCACTGTCATATCCGTGCAGTAAATATGGAACTACAGCCAGGAAACAGTTAGCTTAGCATAAAGACTGGAACCGGAGGGAAACAGCTAGCCTGGCTCTGTCCAAAATAGCACCTCACTAACCGTCACTTAGTCACCATGTATAAACCACAAATTGTTGTTTTTACACTCTCGTTCTGTACAGATTAAATATATACACGAGTTAGGGTTATATTTGGATAGAGCTAATATAGCTGTGTCCCATTTTTCCCCCAGTCTTTGTCTCCTGGGAAATATATTTTGGGAAATATGATTATATATAATTTCTCGCTGCCTGAAAGTTAGATAAGAAGACTGATACCACTCTCATATCTGGCCGTTAATATGCAGTTAAAGCAAGCAGCAGGTTAGCTTAACATACCCAAGACTGGAAAGGGAAAACAGCTAGTCTGGCTCCATCCAAAGTTAGCGCAGCTCTTCTTTGGCCACCTAGGAATATTGGGACAGGCTGTAAAGCTCACTGATTAACACGTCTTCCAGTTTTGTACGGCTTAAACAAACATGTTAGTTAGTGAGCTTTAATGATGCTGGTAGGTGGATTTTGTTTCTTTCGGACCAGTCTTAATGCTAAGCTAAGCTAACCTTTCCTGGCCTGAGCTTTATATTTACCATACAAGCATGAGAGTGCAGGAAAGCAAATACTGAGTGTATTTCTCAAAATGTTGAAACATTCCTTTAAACATCTCTCTTTATTCTGAGGGAGCAAATGCTGTCGTGTCTTAACTGTTTCTCCGTCTGATGCATCCAGGGAGTTTAATCTCTCAGAAGTCATTAGTGACTGAGTGGAAAGTCTAACGTTCACATTTTACACTATTTCTCAAGCTGGTCCGATCACAAATAAATGGCTACAGACTTGCTTGTGATTAAGTCAAACTTCTCTTGCAGGGGATCAGGGGAAACACAGGAGACTACGGTAACATTGGCGAGACAGGCCCAAAGGTAAGATCTGCCTTAATAAACCCCCCTATCAGTGTTAAACTTCAGTTTGGCTCGTTCTCAAAACGCATTAATGAAACCTCACACACACATCCTCAGGGTGAAGAAGGAATCAAAGGCGAGAAAGGAATGAGAGGACTCTGGGGCCAAGTGGTAATTTATCGCACTCAGCTTTATCTTTTTTCTTTTTTTTACCCGAAATGTTACAATTCCTAATTAATGAGATGTTATGTTGTGTTAACAGGGAGACAGAGGTCCTAAAGGGCTGAAAGGATTAAAAGGGGCAGGAGGCTTCAAGGTAAAATCTTCTTTTGGTTTCAGGATTTAAAGGTCCAGTGTGTAGGATTTAGTGGCATCTAGCAGTGGGGTTACAGATTGCAACCCACTGAATACCGCCCCCCTCACCCCTTCCCTTTCCAAGCGTGTAAGAGAATCTACAGTGGCCTTCAGGTAACATTTAAGGCCCTATGTAGAGCCAGACGTAGAGCTGCTTCATCTGTAGATAAAAACGTCTCATTAGAAGGTGAAAACACAACAATTCTTATTTCCAGGTTATTATACACCTATGAAAACATACCTGTGAACGTTATATTCCATTTCTGCCAATAGATCCTCCTAAATCTTACGCACTGGCAATCTGTTTAATTAGAAAATAGGCAACCAGTCAATAAAGTTACAAACTTTCCACTGGAGTTTTTTTGTTACAGTTGTATAACTTTATATCCAGATCCAGAGGATTTATTGTTGGCATTTTGACTGTAATTAAAGGGAGTTCGTGGGCCACCTGGAGACATCGGAGAGACTGGGAAACTCGGAGAAGTTGTAAGTTAACCTTTCATGCACAGTGGTAAGCCCTTTTGCAAGTCATTATGTAATTACTGTATTACTAACATCTTGGCCTCCTTGAAGGGTGCTAAAGGCGAAAAAGGATATGAAGGGATTCCCGGGTTTCAAGGAGTTAAGGTATTCGTTTTTTCTGCTTACTCTGTCTTCTTTTTAAATCTTGATATTGTGATTTGATTCCATCATGCTTTTATTTTCAGGGAGAGGAAGGGACCACTGGTAAACCAGGGCGTGCTGGGCCCAGAGGAAAGCAGGTGGGTTGTTGTGGGAGTCCCTCTTCCATAATCCATAATATTGCACTCTTAATTCTTTGTCCGTTACCTTCAAAATCCTCTCATGTGAGCGTAGAGAGCCAGTAAATCATTTTTAATGTGGTAAAACACTGGAATAGAGCTATGTTTTTGGCTTATGTGCCGTCTCCATAAACAACATTAGTTCATGTGGCTGGATTTTGGCTGAGATCTGAGGGCCTGAACTATATCAACATAAGCTGATGAGTCATTGAAAGAAGAGGCTCGACCACAATGATAACCTACTCTATTGTATATGAAGGAAGGCTCCTGGGTTCATGTTGCGTACTGAATGAAATCTGTTGTACAGTATAATCTAAAATCTTATGTTGCTTCAAATTATGATTTCACAGGGTATTGTGGGAGATCCCGGAGAGATGGGAGCTTCTGGAGAAAAGGGGAAGCCAGTATGTAATACAAATTAATCACAGTGACATGAAATTTATATGTCTTTTTTGTTCGATTTGATTTACACCCTTATATGAACATCGCAAATATTTCAAAATGTTTTCCTTTTAATGGATGTTTTTTGTCTGAACTTGTGAAAACTAGGGAATCCAAGGACCTGTGGGCAGAGGTGGCACCATCGGACCGAAGGTGATCCACTGCTGACACACCCAGCGCCTCACACCTGAGAGCTCACTTACACTGCGAATATAATTTGTCTGTTTTATAATAATGATAGCGTTTCCCTTAGGGCATAATTGGAGATCCGGGCTTACCAGGCAGAGATGGTGATCTAGGAATAGAGGTATTATATTCAATACAATATACAATATCTTAATGAGGAATTTAAGAAGCAGTACACTTTTGTTATTGTGTAAGTGTCATCTCTTCCTCACAGGCTTATCAAGGACCACAGGGTCTCAGTGGAAAACTCGGGCGAAGTGGAGCAAAGGTAACTCGTTGATCTTGCTTGCTTTTTTAATTAACAAGCAATTGAGTTGATTTTGGTCGATTAATTATGTTGTGCTTTGTGTCTTTTACAGGGGGAGAAAGGCACCCTTGGGTCACCGGGAGAAATGGGTCTCCAAGGCCGAACTGTAAGTAACTTTTTCAGTCACTGAAGACAAGCACATAATACATTTTGTACGTAAAGTATTTTGCCATCTTAAAGGAAAACGACAAAGATTAAAGCAGTCCCTTAGGTCGGTTTAATAAATGTTTTATTCTCGAGGGCCCAAGAGGTTACAAGGGTTCTGCAGGAAAGCCAGGAAGACCTGGATTTATCGGCCCACCGGGACCTACTGTAAGTCCTCCAGATGAATTTTTTAAACTCTTCCAAACACTAGTTCATTTTCTTCAAGCCATTAAACCATGTCATCTCTTCACAGGGACACGTGGGTGTGCCTGGAAAACCAGGGTCCAAGGTAATACATCCTCATCCATTACCCATTAGAAACAAAAGCTGACTGCAAAATCACCATTTAATGCCACAATTCTAAATATTAAACATTCATAATATACTGGTTCACAAACTAAATGCAGTCATAGGATTCAGGTTCTGTTACGCAACCAGCTTTTACAAAGTAACATTTTGTATTTTTATTTTGAGGTCACAGTTAAAGTGACATTATGTAAGATTTGGTATCTGTTGCGATTTGGATTTCTGGAATTAAATACCACTGTTATAAATATGGACAGCTGTACAACTGTATTTGTTATAATTACATTACCGATGATGAAAAACTGTCGACCATCACTCCCCCGGTGCTCTGAGCACCCAGTCCAGGGCTGTCCATCATGAAACTCACAGAGACTTGAAGCAGAGGACATCAGAGGGAAAAACAGAAAACATAAAATATGATCCAGTTTCCCTGAAATCAGTAGTTGGTGGTATGTGACTTTGTGCTGTAAAGCGTTACGCACTTTTTCAGACCTGGAGCCAAGAGATAAACAGTGCAAGAACAGGCATAAAGTAGGAATGACTGAGTCACCATTCACTCTGTAACAACTTGGTGTTATTTTAAGATAAATACATATTGTTGCTTTAAATATAAATAAAGGTTAAATGAGATATTAGGCAATCTGCCTACCTAGATCCAAATCTGAAAACCTCTGCACGGCAGTATTATGCAGTTGGATGCAGGTCAAGAAAAGAGAAAAGCATCATGGAAAAAGTTTACAAAAGCACAGACATTCAAAGGCGGTGAATACTAGGTGCTGGACCAAAGTACATGTAAAAAAAAAAAGGAAAAATAGCCACCATGTGGTATACCAATAAATGTCACGGGGCACAAGCCCCTCCTCAGATGGTTTAAAAGTTTGTGCCCAAAACGTCTAATGGTAGTATACTAATAAATGTTCATGGGAGCATTATACAATGTGCAGACTCTATATTTTTGTTTTTCAATAGAAAAGAATCAACAATTAAGACGGGGCACAGTGTGTGGCAAGCCCCTTTTTCATTTTAAATTAAATTTGATCTTATTTGAACATGTCATCCACCACAGTACAACACACATAAACCGGGAAACATAAAATCACATTCAAAAGCTCTATTGTGGCCTGACTGAGACCGTAAAATGACTTTAAGCGTCACTGCGTTGATTTAGACGATTGCTATCTATTCATCGAGCAGAACACTGAAATTCTCATATATCAAATAATTGTTAGCTTCTGTACACTGTTTATTTTTCCTTTGCCTTCTACAGGGTGATACAGGAATCCAGGGAATCCAAGGAGTTAAAGGTGCACAGGTACAGCCTTAAATATTTCATCCTCTCTGCTCATCTCTGCTCATCATTACATCCTCTTCATTTTTTCTTCATAACATGACTTTGCTCTTTTTTAAAGGGGGAACAAGGAGTTAAAGGCCCAAAGGGAAAGGTGAGCAGTGATTCTCTTTCTTTTTTCTATGAAGAGATGGCATCACTAACACTCATAATTATAATAATTAGGTATGAGCTAAGTGAACTGGGAAATAATTTCCCTCTAAATGGCAGTTAGGGAGCACGAATAGATACACAGACCACTGATCACCGTCAATCCCATCGTCTGATTTAATTAAGATAAATCACAAGGTGGCAGCTGTGATGAGTTGGGTTACTGAAAAGAGCAGTGTTGGAAGTGTATTAGTAAAAACATGCTACACTCATCACAGTCTCTGATTGCAAACTGAATAGTCTGAAAAATATAATATGAATCCATCAAATAACATTCCAAACATATTTAAAGCATCTGTAGATGCGATGAGGCCAGTAACACCCACAACTGCACCAAAATGAATATTGCACATTTCCCAGGTATTGTCTTACAAACTTACAAGAAAATTTCCAGTTTGTTTATGTATTCCTTCCATTATGCTTTCATTACAGGTTTTGTGTATTCACACATTTTAGTTTTTCATTTGAATGCTGGTCACTTTTAAAGTAATTAAATAAATAATATGTACTTGCATTTTGCATTCAATACTGAATGTATTTCCTTCTGAGATTCTGTTTCTTGCTAGTTTGCTTTACTGTCTGCATGACTGTTTATTATTACCAAATTAAGCTGTCACTGCTTTCCATAAAATTTATGTCCATGTAAAAATGATTTCTCATTGTATGGCTCTGTCCTAAATCCAGTCTTGCTGCTGTTGTTAACCTGCTCTGTAGGTTGGAGACAGGGGTGAACAGGGTCCTCAGGGAGGACGGGGGAAGCGCGGACCAGGAGGCCCACCTGGACGCTCAGGTCCTGTTGGAGTCAAGGGGGTTCGAGGTGAAGGAGGACCAGATGGCTTTCAGGGGCCCCCAGGCCCACCAGTAAGTAAAGTCCAAGCCTCTAAAAAAGTGTGATGAAACCGCTCTATAGTCTCTACTGTAATTGGCACTTCATCTATCTGTGAATGATGGCACAGAAACAGCAGAGTAATCATTTGTAGTTACACTGACTGGCACACACAAAGTGTTTGTTAACAACTTTGGTGTCAGGAACATGTTTAAACAGTTTCACATTAGCCTGTAGTTAGTAGCGACTCACAGCAAGGGTTTCATTTAGTGCAGCTATAAATCCATAATGAGCCTCAGGAAATATTAATGGTTTCATTTGTTCGTTTGTTTCCTCTGAGAGGCAGCCATGGCTTCAGCATGGCCTGTCCTGTAATATTCCACATTACATGTGCCACAGTTGGGTCTCTTCCAGTGATGGATGTGGTCATAATTTGTTACACAGGGTCCGACCCTCCCCGCTCAACACGTGATCGAGGTTTGTCAGAAAGTGGTCCTGGAGCAGATGTCCATGTTTGCCAACTCCGTGAAGAGGACGTGCGCTGCAGTTTGTCCTCTCTATGGGGATGTGCCCATGGGTGCCCCTGGTCCCGCCGGACAGAAAGGACCCCCCGGACCTCCTGTGAGTTTTACAGTTTGGGTCTTCTGCACAGACACACCAAAAATCACTGCTTTAGGTCTCATCTCACCTCCTGTAGACCCTTAGCTGAGACCCACTGCAGGAGTGCAGCACATTCTCCATACATTGTTCATTTTTGTCTTCCTGCCTGAGTAAAATGCAAACACATTGTGAGGGTCTGGTCTGGACTAAGAGAGCTGAAGTATTTGGCAGAAAAGCTTGGAATGAAAACATTACAATTTTCCACGTCTCCATGAGGACAAATAAGAAGTCACAGACTAGACACTTGGTCTGTGCTGAATGGTTTTTGGAGAGTATCAAGGCTGTCCTTGGATTGGAAAGCCTTTTCCACATTATTATACAGTGTAGAACCGATTCATGTTCCACAACTTCTTTAATCACAGTGACTCTCAGGCTGATAAATGCTCTTGAAGCCATGACCATATAAAAATATTCCACTATATTAGATTATGGCCAGTAAGCCTCATGTTGTGGTGTTTAATGCCAAACCAAGAACAGTGATGTACCAGTACTGTACAATGTTTTCCCAACAAAGTACTGAATGATCAGCCAAATAAATCTTTTCAGTTTTTTGTGCGCAGAGTTGGTCAGGGGTGAATGGAACCTTAATTCACGACTTGACCTAAGTGGAAAAAAAACATTGCATGGTTTGTACAGAAAACACACAAAAGATTAACGATGTATTTTCCTATTGATTATGTTGTCAGGGTGACCCTGGTAATGATGGTGTTGATGGAGAAGTGGGCCTGCAGGGATTCTACGGAGAAGTCGGAGATCTGGGCCGCCAAGGAGAAACAGGTGCGAAAAACAAACCTGACAGTTTATATTTATGAATATGAAGAACACCAAATCTATAATTCATCAGTGCTTGTTTTAGGACAAGTCAGCGGTGGAAAAAATTATTCACATCCTTTACTGAAAACTGTACAAATTGAATATTTTGGGCCACTTAGGGACATGACAATAAGCTGTAAACACATCACTAACATATCATCACTTGACATGTTAGCGAACATCTTATTTTTACAACCAGAAGACACTGAACAACATTGCTATTCATTTGGAGGTGTGTTTCTGGATACCTGATAAGGAACTTCATTTTATCTATTGTTAATACAGTATATATTGACAGAAGGGGCTTACGTAGCAATACAGCCAGTACTCCATTACAAGTAAAACAACATTTTACTTTAAGCACAGCACAGATTTTATATATCATGATCAATTTACTTACTTAGTTACTTACTTACTTTTATGGGCAGTACTGTGAAAATAGTTGTATAATGTGTTCTGTGGCCCTTTGTCATCAGGGGTTATCTCGGCCTGTACTTGGTTGTTACAAGTTTTTAACAGAAAGCCCCGTTACAAAGTGGAGGACGTGGAGTTTGAGAGATGCACCGAAGATGCTATCAAGTTGCATTATGGGAAGCATAGAGTACAAATAGTGGGGACTAAAAGATATCAGCATGCATTTTTAACAATTCTTTCCAGTAGCTGTCAAATAAATATAGTGATAGTACAATCTTTCAATCTGAAACTAAAGTAGCACAAAAATGGAAATACTCAAGTCAAAATTGGCCTTATGTACAGTATTTGAATAAATGTACCATCGATTCTTTCCACCAGTGGAAAGAACCCACTTGACTACCTTTCATCATGAACAGCACTGTATGAAACTGCTGAATCCAACACTGTACAGCGCCGCCGCTGTAAAACCTGTAGGTTAATACGTATATTCTCAGCTCTAATTTATGGTTAGACGCCTGAGCATGATGTCACACTCCTGCTACATTCCCGTGCCAAACCAATGAAATCGTAGAATATTTACAAGGTGTTTTCAACATTTATTTAACCATGATCTCAGTAACACATATGGTCTTTAATCAACATGAACGGCATGTTCTTGAGTGCTCTCAGTCCTGCGGGAATAGCGTTTTGGCTTGTCTGCTGTCATTCCTATTGAGACCAGTGTCTGTGTCTGTGTGTGTCTGGCTTGCAGGTGACAGAGGAGAGCAAGGTGATAAAGGAGCCAAGGGTTACGGTCTACCTGGCTACACTGGAGACCAAGGACCAAAGGGTAAATTCATATTCCAATACTTAATGTTGTTTGATAATTTGGTTAAAATGAGGCATTAATTGATGTCATCTGGGTCTGTGGATCATTCTCCAAACTATATGCAGCTGAGTCTGTCCTTTAGTTCCCAAGAAGGAGGAGGAGAGATGTGTTACTGTAAGAAGAGTGTGTCATTTTTCCAAAAAGAAAAGGTTTTTCTCTGTAAATGCTCTGTTCATGGAATCTGTGAAAACCGTCTTACTCAGCTCAACTCAGTAGACTGGGAGCCCTGAAGACTAAACAACATTTTTGCTTCAATCACAGGTCAGCGTGGACGTCCTGGCAGAGCATTTAATGGCCAGCCAGGGAAGCAGGGTGAGAGGGGACATACAGGCCGACCTGGACTCAGGGGCCACGCAGGTCTCAGAGGACCTCCCGGTGTTTGTATCACCTCTGGGTGTGCCCAGCTGAACTCCACCAATGGGACACCTCAGCCAGCACCGCGGAGGAGGAATCGCCCGTAGAGTAAAAAAAACAGTGAATCAAATATAGAGCTTAAAGGAGGAAAACATGGTGGATTGTTTTTGTTAATAAGTGTTTGTTCAAATAAATTGAACTTCTAATGTAAATATGCATCCAAACGGAAAGTGGGAACAGTTTGAGCTACAAGGTTACCAAAGACAACAACACCTACTTGATTTGAAGGAGAGTGGTAACAAAATATATTTGTATAAAAAAGACCGTCTTCATTTGATAGTTTTTATTTAAACTGATTTCACAAGTCTGAGTTGTCTTTAAACATCTGTTCTTTATAATAAAAATACAAAAATTATATTGTTTTTTTAGACTATTGTGTGAAAGCCTGATTCAGGTTCTTATCACAGCTATATCTGTCATGGAATTTGAGAGCTAGTGTCATTAGTAAAAAACTAAAACATAATAATATATAATACATAAATATATAGTTGATGTACCTCATATTCATAGTATTTAAAACTCAGCTTAGAGTTGTCTTTCTTTCTTTATGTAAATTTCCCATGTATTGTCTGTAGCCGTTGTGTAAAAAAGTACAGATTTCATGACACTTAAGTATGTTTTACTTACAGCTTTGGTGCCCTCTAGTAGTAGCATAGAAAAAGACACTTTGGCAGGCAGCGATGCATCCTGCTTTTAAACAGTGAGGCGATTTTAGTGTAGCGGTCACATTCTGTATTGCAGTATCACATGATGCATACATGCCCAAAAAGACCCCGAAATGACTCTGCGTATTATCAGAATTAAATCCATTTGATACAATAAAATTTGAAAAAGTCTAGAAGAGCCGTGTCAATAAGGTTTTTTTTCTTGCCATTTACGTAGTAAGTTAGCTAGTCAGTTAGCTGGCTTATGCATATGTTTTCATAAAAGGTTGAAAAATGTGTTTGGTGTATTTTTGAGTAAGCAACTTTTAGTGGAATTAAAGGTCCAGTGTGTGACATTTAGAAGGATATATTGGCAGAAATTGATTATAATATTCCTAGGTATGTTTGTACCATTAGTGTAAAATCACCTGAAAATAAGAATTGTTATGTTTTTATCAGCTTACCATGAGCTGTTTTTATCTACTATCTCTCACTCTCATTGTGAGCAGTCTTCAGTTAGTTGCAATCTGCAACTCACAGCTAGATGCCACTAAATCCTACACACTGGTCTTTTAATGGTGCTATCTTGGAACACAATATCAAGTTTTCCCCCCTTTAATGGCACTGTAGTACCCAATATTGGCCCATGATACACAAATCTTGAGACTGAGGGTGCAATGGTGTGCTACAGTAGAATCAAGTAATGTGCCTTTAAACCTTATTTCACAAAGCTAGGATTCTCTGCATTTCCCCAAGTGGAAGGTTTGGAAATTCTGGTTACAATTTAACTGTAAATCTCAAATCTTAATTATGTTTCATTGGACTACAGAGACTATGCATGAGTTTAGCTGTCAACAGAAAACTTAATGACCTACAACCTGTGTGTACTCTTTTTTTAGCAGTTGTTGTAGTGATGAGAACAAACAGTGACACAAACAGCAATGTTTCCCACATGGTGGCTCGGCAGATATTGTTGTAGCACCGTTGCTTCACAGCAACCCAGAGCTGGTTTGATTCCTGGCCTGTGTGGACTTTCCAGACGAAAAACCTGCTGGTCAAGTGGAATGGAGACTCTAAATGACATGAGGGTATGAGGTGTCTGTCTATCTGTATTACCAATAGACCGACACCCTGTCTGGGGCATTTCCCTGCTTTGTGATCAGAATATGCTGGGAAAGGCTCCAGCAATCCTGCAGCCCAGAAAGGACTTAATGAATTGAGAAAGATAATGATTGTTTTCCACAGCTCAAATCTAAAGGGAGGAACACTTCTAAAGGGGAGAAATTCACAGGGAGCTCTGCGTGTGGCTCTTCTCAGTGTCTTTCCTGGCTCACATTTGTTTCCTCCTGAGAAGCCCATCGACTGTAGATCGTCATCCTCCACCCACTCTGCGACTGCAGCATCATGTGTGCCATGCTGCTCTGGATGCTGTGGCCACCTCTGTCATGGAAACTATTACTAATCCACGATTATCCTCTGAATTTTCTTTCTGGGCTCAACCACTTGCTTCAGACATGCTCACTATTTATCTCTGTGGCAAACCATCATCATCATGATAAATACGACTTAATGCATGTGAGCTGATTAAAACGACCCAGTACGGTTGAGCTTCAAAGTGATGGCACAGAATCAGAGGTTATTAGAGAGAGGTTTTATGTTGTCCTCGGGCAGTTATTGAAAAAGTAAGTTTCAGAGCATTCGCCAGACACTGTAAATGTTAGTTGATGTAAGTAATATGTGTTATTGTGTTTTGTAGAAGTGAAAGTGAGCAGAGCGCTGATGCTGTTAGGTCCAACTGTAGATTTCATTAGTGTCCTGACAACTTTTTAACACACTGGCAGACTGAGATGCTGCTGAGTGGGTGGGTGACATAAACTTTCTCTGGCTAATTTGCTTCCTCATTTTTTGTATGTACAGTTTTATCATTAGTGCAAACCAATTACATATATGTTTTAAGCATTTGATTCATTTAGCTTGTTAACAGACTTTCAAACTGATTCCACCCTTTGTGCAGAAAGGATTTCTCCACAGCTACAAATGTTAAAGATTCTGGGGTTCAATTTTGTAGAAAACGTCTGATGATCATGATCATGTGGGGAAAACAGTTAAAGGGCAATGCAATAATCTGTTAAAAGGCCTTTATTCCCTTTGTCTGAGGCTGTGGGGCCATATCATGGGAGCAGTTATTAACTTGCAGTTATGAATAGCCAAATAGAAAAGAGGCTTTTAGCTGATTTTAGAACATCTTTGATCCGTTGTTTTTCCCACAAGACAGCCTGAAGACAAATTTGTCATCAGAAAGAAGTCTTAAACATGCAGTCATCAGTTGTGTGGATTTCCAGCAACATTTAAAGCTCTTTAACACCATGTCTCTGGACGGGGCTCAGTATGTTTGTACTGACTTTACTGTGTGTGCCAACCTCATAAATATGCACATTATATATCCATTTAGTGCCTGTGTATGTCAGAAGAGCATGTGTTTGATACACCATTCACAAAAAGCATATGGAAGATACAAACTACTACAATGTCCTGACGAAGAACAATTTCCCTTCCTGGCCATTGGTTTCTAACCACTGACAGTATGTAGTGTATGTGTGGCCTGTAAAGTGTTTAAGTGTCCATGGGCCTCTAAAAAGAAGTCCTTTAGTATTGAGTCTTATGGGAAAATGACCCTACTTCTCACTTGATGTAATACTGCAGTAAACAGTTTCCTAATGAGTAAGTCTTCATCACGCAGCATGATGTTCATTTAGTAAATTATGGTCCAGTTAATGTAAAAGAGACAATAAAGCCGGGTATGCTTTAAGGTGTGGGTACCTTGTGATCGACAAGTCATTCTCAGTGAGTCCATCCAGCGCAACGTACGAAACGAAGATCAAACTGTAAAACTCAGCAGTGCTGATTAAATATGAATCAGAATTATGTCATTGCACTTCCTATTTTTCACAAAAAATCGAGGCACATTTTAGGGTACTGTTTAACTGTAGTATGAGAATGTGCGTGACCAGGCAGGCCACCATTGTCTCCTGCTACGGATGAGCCAAAACTGAGTACAACACCGAAAAATCAGTCATCACTGCGACAGCCATAATGCCAAACTCAAACTTCAAAATGGTTGCATAATAATTACCTGGGTAGAAAATAAGAAAATTGAAACTCTACTACACAAAATCACTTTTCTGCTGTACTGCACACACCTCATACATTTGCACCCAGTACTGGGGAGATCTAAAGTAGGCATTGCTTTGAATTGAGAGGTCACAAGCAAAAAAGATTGAGGAGCACTCATGTAAGCTGCAGACTCCAGGAGCTACTGAAATATGGATACAAGTTATTTTTGAAGCCACAATTGTGCTAGAAATAATGTTTTTGCACTAAATAAAGCTTCTGGCCTTGTTAGGACTTGATTGCACAACATGATTAGGCTGTCTTGTTTTGCTGCCTAGTTGCGCTGCAAACATATTCATTATGTAATCTTGATCAGCTCTCTAAATCTAATCAATTACACATTTATCACATTTAAAAATATGACAATCACATTGTCCTGGTCCTCTCCTCTTCATTCATATTAATCAATGTATAGGCCCCAGATGATATCTTCAGTGGATTCTTGTGGGAAAAACCCACACAGATTTTTTGCCTGGGGGTTTCCTTCATGTGCACCTCCTGTTGGTAATAAACCAGAGCCAGTTTATTGAGACAGAAGATTACTCAGCATTGGAAAGTCTACTCTCACCAGCAGGTTGGCCACTCCCAGGCTCCAAACACATAACACTCAGTATTTGCCTGTGTGATCCACCAGAGTGTGCTGAGGCTCAGGGTCAACCGGGATACCACTGCCGCTCATAAGATGACGTCTGATGACATCTGTACCTGTCATGTGAAATATATATTTTATCACCACACTGGCTGATGATTTTTATTAACCCTGTACACAAAGAGAGATGGTAAAAGCAGTGATGGAAGAAGATAAAAGAAGCAAAAAGTGAAATACTTGCTTTTAAAAAAAGTGTAGAAGTATTAGCAACAAAATCTACTTAAGGTATCAAAAGATAAAGTACTTGAGATTAAGGAGAATGGCCCCTTCCAGATATAGTATATATTTTTTGTCTGTAAGGAGTGTGTTAATGCTGTAACTGGTCACTATTTTCAGTGTACATACTGTTTTTGGGGGTATTTTTTTTACTTTAACTGATGACAGAAAAAGGGGATAAAAGAGAGAGGGGATGACACACAGCAAAGGGCCACAGGTTGGAGTTGAATATATATATATATATATATATATATTGTCAATGCCCATGGCCACTGCGGCAAGAACTCAGATTTGGCACAGGAGCGCCAGCTCTACCTGGATAATGCGTAATTTTAAAGGCTTATCATGTGCATTGGATGTAAAATCTTAGTATGTAAAGTAATTAGTAGTAGTACCAAAGTTGTCAGATAAAATTAGTAGCATCAGTTGTAGCGTCGAAATAATATAAGTGCAAGTACCTCAAAATCATATACACTTGAGTGAATGTACTTGCTCCACCAATGGATCCAAGCATTTCTTGCTTGGAATTTGTTGTTCAAACAGGTGACTGCAGATAAAGATTCAAGCTTACTTTGTTAAAGCTTATAGAGAATAGTATTCCCCAACACAATGATGTGTTTAAATGAGTTGCTTTTTGTCAATCTTATACACTCATCTGTACTGCACTGTAGTGTTGTGCAACAGTCTTCTTTTCATTTTAAATTGGATAACTAATGTTGTACAGGGCAGCGTTCAGTACACTATCAGTCTTTTTGGAGCCTTCAATAAAGCCTGCAAATACTGAGGCTGTTCTTAGTTGATGCAGTGCAGGCTGCCACTGAGTACAAACATGATAAAACTTGTCAGAGTGGATCAAACTGAGATCTGCCTGCTCTATAGATAGCAGAGTCAGTTCTGCATTTCTAATGACTTCCAGCTGTTTGTGCAGAAAAAAAGCACTGCAGTAGCTTTTCACACCTTGTTCATTGCTCACTTGTAGAACATAATCTGCTGTCCTTTTGAGCGATGAAGTGGAATTCAAAAAGGAGTTGTGTAATGCATTGTTAAGCACTTTAGGTCCCACCAAAGGTACAATGAACACTACAGCATGTGTCTCAGTATACTGAAAGTTGTAGACTGATCTGGTGCTTGTCCTGCATCCAGAAAACTCCATGTTCTCTGGTTATGCCCCTAGCAACCCACACACGATCCAAACCCTCAACACTTGGAAGGAGGCTGTGCTCATTACTATTATTTTCCTTTTGGACTGTCAGAGATGGGCTGTCTGCTTCACTATTTCATGCTCTTCTTATCTGCTTCTCTTTCCACCCATGGTAATTGAGGGTGGCTGTAGGCCAGTAAAAGTCCGGAGTGAGGGGGGGGGGGGGGGGTGGAGAGGAAGAAGGACAGAAACAGAGGAGACAGACTGAGCTGCTGGAAAGGGCAGGCTTTCATTCAGCAGAGAAACATGTGCACTTCTCTCGAAATTCAGTTTCTGTAATCCCAAGGCAGTGAACAGTATTGATCACTGGCTCTCAATGAGAGGATTAACTGGAATTCACACAAGGGCTTGGACGCTTACGGGTAACTTTTTGTTCACTTTGTGTCATTTTTGTAATACTTACTTAATACTACATTTTAGAAATTCGGTTTTGGAGCTACAAGTTTTGGGTGTGTTTTTGTGCATGAAGATGCAACTGTCATATTTCTTTCATCAGCAGAGAGCTAAATTTAGAGTATTAGAATCTATGGAGGCTGTTTTTGATCATTAAAATGAAGCTGATGGTGTTAGTGTGTTATTTTTCAGTGTGCCATGTGTTATGATGTGGTAACACTGTTCAGATTAGTAATAGTTTAGCACTGTGTCAACGTTTACTTTAGTGTCCTAAAGTTTGTGCTGCTGCAGTTCCATATTGAAGACATTAAGCTCAGTTATCAGTCCCTTGTTTGTGCTACTGTCATGCAAAGAATGAATGGAATCAACTCAAGATTTTTTCCTGGCCATTTTCACTTCTCGTAAAAAGATTTTTATTTCATATTTCTTGAGTCTGTGCAGCATTTTGCATAGTGCACCACGGCACTGCATGTATTGTACTTGCAGAGCTTTTACAGATGTTAGACTGTATATGAAGAACAATAACCTGTGTGACTAGAGTAGAACATATCTGAATGCATCTGAATGTTGACATGTTGGCTGAAAAGTGATAAGCCCCCATATGAGTTAGTGTTTTACAAGACATTATTTAACTGTTTGGATTACTTGAACAGATTTCTATGGAGAACAACTGATAGGGCTTGGCTTTCCCTTGTTGCTTGAAGAATTTGGCAGCAATAAATTCCCCTCATCTTGGCAACTGTTCATGCTGAACAGCAGTTGTTGTTTCTGGAATGGAACAACTTCCTTTTGCCAAATTTACAGCAGATAACTAAAACTTCAACAGTTCAAGTGGAGTTAAAGCCTGCAGTTGCACTACATGCTGTAAACTACGGACACAAAACAAATAAAAAAAGGTTTTTTTGATTTGTGAGCTCAATAATTCAAACATTTTATTTTGGTTCCTGCTGAATGAAAAATCAGTGGTCTGATACTGTGGTTAAAATCTGTACGATGACTCAGTGTCGCCACCTTGAACAAGTGAAATGTTATCTGGTGAAATATGAGAAGTCATTTTTGTTCAGCAGCTTCCTGAACAGCAAATCCAGCTGGAACTGCTACTAAACTAAGTCTCACATAAATCTTAAAAAGTTTGCCAAGTATTGCAACAAACAACAGGCTCAACCAAGAATTAATGCAATGTGGTAGTTATGTTCATAGAAAGAATGTCTTGAAAAGATTTTAGATATTTTTGCATACCAGCGTTCGCATACAGTTCTGCCAGTCAATCACCATAACCAAAACCTGGAGCTACAATAACATCATGGATACCTGGAATCTGATACTAACCTGCGACACGAGTGCACCTGTTAATTCTTCTACATTATGCATGCATTCCAGCTCCAAGCATAATAGCATAGCATGTGTAATGTTGCGTTTTTTTATTCCTGGACGAAGGTTGCTTCCCTTCATCATGACTACATGTGTTTGGTCACAGTCCACAGCCGGAATTTCACCGTCTGATGGTGTAAATGAATTCCATGTGGCTCGAGCAGAGGTGTAGAAACACTCAGTTTGGGGAAAGTCAGTCGAGGGGAAAGTCATCCTAGCTGGACCCTGCCAATGAGGGGGTTTTCCAACAACCTCCTCCAGCTCTCTAGTGGGGAAAATTTTTGAAGAAAACGGCTTGCACAACTATGGCAGCTTAACGCCTCCTTCAACTGTTTTACTGAGTTTACATGGTGGAAAAATGCAGTCATGTTAAAGAGTGTGACCTCTCTTTGGCTGCACCGACATAAAAGCATTTGGGAGGCCAAGGGTTATATCCTAGCCACTGTTTCGTTGACCCTCACGTGTCACGTTCAGAAACCGTTATGAATAAGGAGTACAATCAGTTCCTTCTTATCAAATTCCTTCCACAAGTCTTGCTTCTTATACTGTATGCAGCATATCTGGTCTTCATTTGCAACTGCTTCCTTTTAGGATGTCAGCAGTTTCTTTCTTTCACGTGTTGGAAACTGTTGTAAAAGATAATTTGATAGAGCAGCCACAGAAACAACATCTGATCAAATGTCTGCTGTCTGCTCACATGCAACCCTTAAGCTGATTATTGCAAAATGTAAATACAACTCTTCTCATTGTTTCACCCAGTTCTTAATATCCCATTTCATCTCTGATTCCATGAGCATGAACATAACCATCATTACACTCCACTATAATGCTACATGTTGTTTGCAGCACATGCAATGATATTAGTGTTCACCTGTTACTGAAATAAACTTACAAAATACAGTCAATAGCACGTATGTAACATGCCATTGTTTTTTTTATTTGACATTAATCAATGTTAAAGGACAAAGTCTGCATTTTGTCCTGTGTTGTACTTGCCTTGACATTGCTTCATTAAAATCTGAGTTGGATTTTAATGGGAACAGATTTGGTAATTTGTTCAAATGACTTAAAATTGCCTTCTTTTGGTTATGTGAACAAAACCAAGAGTCTATAGTTATGCATTTTAGTTAAATGCTAATGCTAGCATGCTCACAATGACAATGTTAACATGCTGATGTTTTGCAGATATAAGGTTGACCATGTTCACCACCTTAGTTTGGCATACTGGCATGCTAACATTTGCATTAAATCATGCAAGCATTAGCATTAAAGACAAAGAACATATGAGGCTAATAGAAATGTCATCAGGTTTGCATTTGATAAAAGGTTAGAATCACCAAAGTCATTAGGCTACATGGGATGGTGGTCGGCACCAAACTTCATGACAATCCATCTAATTGTTTTTGAGACATTTCACTAATACAAGCACAATTTCTTCAATCAAGTTATTCTTGTTCCTTAATTTAAAGAAGTTACTGCTACTGTATTTTTGTTCTACTGATGAGGCACCAAATCAGGAAAACCCTAACATGGGTAAGACATTGTCAAATGACCTGTAGTGTCATTTGGGTGTGAGAACTTGCTGTTAGGATATGTTAGATAGACAGAGCAGGTACCATATCTAAATATTTTACACAAGGGACTTCAGAATAGCATAATTTAATATGAAAATCACATAACAGGGGTGCCCTGGTAGCACACCTAGTAGCCCCATATACAAAGGTGAGTCTATACCACAACGGCCTGGGTCTCTCTCTTCACTTTCCTGTCTCTCTACAGCTATCACTATCAATTAAAGGCAATAAAAGCCCCCACCCCCCAAAAATCACATAACAGAGGTTATATCTGAGTGTAGGTGAAGCATTTCAAAAGTCAGCACTCAGCCATACGACAAGGATGTTGTTGTGCAGTAGTAGAGTAGGGGAGCCTTAGGGCTGGGCACAGTGAAGCCATTGCTGATTGAGTCCATCAGTCAGGTAAAGAATGATTGTAGGGCTAAAAGCCAGCACAAGGGAGGCTGTGTCAGCAGAGCTGGCACAGTGGATGCATCAGGAAAATAATATAGAAGAAGAGCTGGAGGGAGTAGAAAAATATAAAAGCAAACCAAAACAGATCAATCATATGTACAAACTGTTTAGTTTTCATATTCCAATATGTTCAGACTTGCCAACTGGGTGTAAAATAATCTTAGAGTGACACACCTGGTAACATATACTGTAAGCGCTTTAGCAGCATGTGACAGTAACTGGTTAAAACTACTTCATCTCCTGATGGGAAGGAAGGTATTACAATTGGTTTTATCCATGAGGGAGGAAAAGTGTAGGAGTGAAGCTTTTCTGGGCAGGCGTGTTGTATTTGTGCCAAGGGCGGGCAGAGATTGGCAAATGGCGGTAGATTTGAGGAAACAGCTGATAATCCCACAGGAAACAGTGAGCACTGGTTTAAGGGTAGTTGTGGTCGAGTTGAGGTTCAGTGAATTGTTTATTTAGTAAAGCTGACAGTGCCATGTGAGGATGTGGTATATGAAGCTTGAAAGGAAAATGCTTAGGTGTACTGAGGCGTCGAGACTGTGTAGCAGGATTGGAAAGATAGAATGCGCCACACGGAGGATGGATATAGAGTTCAGAGTATAACTTAGTGGTACAAGTAAGTGAATTAGGGATTTATGGGTAGTAGTGTGTGTGTGTGGCAGCAGTGGGAAGTAGTAAGTTGATATAAAAGCAAACATGTTGATGAGATTTACAATTGATAGGTCCCCATCAGTAATTTCTATGTAAAATGTAAACAGTGGCATTTAACTTTAAAGCTTCTTTAATTCATATTTGAAATGTAAAATTAATCAAATAATCATTATGTTTAGCATCTTTCTCCATTATTGTGAAATAAAAATATTCCTTAGATAAACTTCAGTTACTACAAGCAATGAATGGACTGTCCTGTCTGTTCTGTGCTTCACCTAGGCCTTGACCTTAGCAGAATGCATACAGTATTGTTTGCACCAAGTCAGCTTGTGTGCACTCCTTTTGTACTAATGCCAATCCTGGAGATTGCCAGGCCTTTGCAAAATGATTGAGTTGATGAAAAATGTAAATCACTCCTGCTGTAAAACAAAATTATTCTTTACTTTATGATTCAAATGGATCAATATTAAATGCATCTACCAGGATATGAACTGCTGAGTCAAAAAACCTAACCAAAACAACTAGTAACACGAAATTAAATGTAGAAAATGAATCATAACAAATCCTTTTAGTCCGAATTTATGCATGAACTTTCTGCTGTCATGCTTAAGTCATACACATTGCTTGATTAGATCACCTCCATCTAACACTTGGTTGAACTTTAGTGCATCGAGACAGACAACCTGACCTCAATGCACAAATTCTGCTAATTCGCATGTGTATACAATGCTTGAATTATTTATTGTTTGAGTTAATTCAGGTTTTGCAGAGCCTGGTAACATAGCCAACAACCATTATAATTACTTATGCGTGAAAATGCAGGTAGTGGGATAGTTTTCTGCTGTAAGGATTTGCCTGAGAGAGGATAAGCCAGAATAAATGAAAACCAAACATCTTAAAAAATGGAAAAACAACAGTCTCAGACATTAACTTCTGTCAAGGCAAGAATAACACAAGGACCACATGTTACAAATGCTTGCATTGTCCTTTTCTTTTTCCCTGCAATACAAAGCATGTGTTTCCCTTTCCCTGTAGGTGCACAATTGGAACTTGGTACTGCTGCATAATGGGTTACAAAGCGACATCCATGCATTGTGTCTTAAGATGCCTGTGCTTCATGCTTCTCCATTTGTTTAGTGCAGCTCAAGATGAAGACATAAGAAGTAAGAGTGCTTCTGTCTTCATTTTCTCACACTTTGTTATGCTTGTTGTCTGTACATTAAAAACTGTCAAATGCATACAACTGGCAAAGGTGATTTATTGTTTAATGTAATGTATTCCACCAAACTAGATATGATTTATTAAAACATTATTTCACACTGCTGATTTTTTTCATTTCCTGTCTGCTTCAGGTTGTAGGACTGCACCATGTGATTTAGTCTTTATTCTAGACGGCTCGTGGAGTGTCGAAGATGTCAGTTTTGAGATAGTAAAGCGATGGCTTGTCAACATAACAACAAGCTTCAATATTGGACAGAAGTTCACCCAGGTTGGAGTCGTCCAGTACAGCGATGACCCCGTTTTAGAGATACCTCTGGGGAAGTACTCCTCTAACAAAGATCTCATCAAAGCGATGGAGTCCATTGAGTACATGGGGGGAAACACCAGGACTGGGACAGCCATTAAGTTTGCTACAGACAGACTGTTTGGCCTTTCTGAGCGTGGCCCATCAGGCGTTTCCAGAATTGCTGTTGTCCTCACAGATGGGAAGTCTCAAGATGAGGTTTTGAAAGCAGCAGAGGAAGCAAGGAAAAAAGGAGTAATTCTGTTTGCAATTGGTGTTGGGTCAGAGACAGAAGACGCCGAGTTGAGGGACATTGCAAACAAGCCATTTTCAACTTATGTCTTTTCTGTTGAGGACTACAAAGCCATTTCCAGGATCATACAGGTCATACGGCAGAAGTTGTGTGAAGGTAAGCAACTGCTGATCAATGTGTGGAGCCGAAAGTGTTGTTCTGTTTAAATATTATCAGTTCAAATATTTATTTCATGACAGTGTCAGTGTTCTGACATCTCTTCATCTCAGACTACTTGATTTCTATCCATTATTCTTCTGTTTTTTCCATTTGTCCCTAATGTCTATTTTTTCTACTTCACTGTTTGTCTGTTGCAGAGACTGTTTGTCCAGCAAGAATTCCTGTAGATTCCCGCGATGAGAAGGGTTTTGATATTCTGTTGCATTTAAATTTGGCCAAAAAAGCAAAGAGGACAAGAGGGGCATTTTACGGCTCTAATGCCTATGAAGTGACATCTCGTGTCGACTTGAGTGAAGCTACACGGTAATCATCTTGCTTTTATTTTTTCTTCATTATCACCAGTGTATTTACAAGAAGTTCACTGACTTTTACATTTGGTCACCTAGGAACCTTTTTCCTGATGGACTGCCTCCATCATACGTTTTTGTAGCCACACTGAGGTATAAAGGATCAGTGGCAATAGAGGAGTGGGACGTATGGAGAATACAGTCGCTTGACGGGAAACCTCAGATGGCGGTGACTCTAAATGGACTGGACCGCACTGTCAAGTTCACTACAACCAGTGAATCAGCAAGTGGAACTCAGACAGTTACATTTTCACAACAGACAGCAAGGGTAAAGTAACAATATGTATTATTTCTTTGAATTAGTCTTGAAACTCACTCCACTGATGTCATACATTAAGATCAGTTCACTTTTCAAAGACAGTACTGCTAAGCTTGTGAAAACAGTTGTATAATGTCCTCTGTGGATGTGAAGGAGCTTCGTCAAGTCAGAGAAAATAACAATGGGGATGTCATCCGGGTTATCTCTGCTTGGGCTTGGAAACTAAAATCTTAACTTTAGGAGAAAGCCTGTGTTACAATACGGGAGCTAAGGCTTTCAAAAATGTGGCTGAGAGGGTCAAACAAAGAGACATTACTGAGTTGCAATATGGGAAATGTAAGCGTTTTTGGAGCTTGGCCCAAACTAGAGACTAATATATCTCGGCCTCTACTACTTTGATTTTCACTGTTCTTATTTTAATCTGTCTCTTGTGAGTCCCCGAAAGTGCAATGATATACTTGTCCAAGAGAAAGCCATAAAACTGTATGATACAGGTATAATTAATATAAAGTACATTTTGGCAGAGCAGCTGCCCACTTTAAGAACAGTCTGTTCATTATTTCATATTTAACTGAAAATATCAAAATATACAACAGAAACTATTGAAAAATCTATGCACGTCTAAGGTTTAAGCATTTTCTTTTAACCACATCATACTTGCTATGTAACTAATCAACCCCAATCATCCTATTCTCACACAACATGTAGACCTTCAGAAGTCTATTTAACCTTTACAAAAGTAGAAGCCACTGTAAATATGTATGTCCGGCAGATTATGACCTTGCCCTTGAACAACTAGCATCATAAAATAAATTCTTGTAGATAGTTACACAAAATACCCCACTGCAGTTTATTTAAAGGTCCAGTGTGTAACATTCAGGAGGATCTACTGGCAGAAATGGAATATAATATTCATAGGTATGTTTTTATTGGTGTAAAATCACCTGAATATAGGAATTGTTGTGTTTTCATTACCTTAGAATGAGAAGTTTTTTATCTATAGACACCATGGGTCGCCTTCCATGGAGTCTGAGTCTTGAACCACCATTTTACAGTAGCCCAGATGGGACAAACCAAACACTGAATGCAGAGAGGGACTTTTTATGAGTTTTGTGGCCACCATAGTTTCTTCTACATACTTCACAGCCCGTTTTACATATATACACATGTACAGACACGAGCCCTGTTCAGTTAGTTTCAATCTGCAACTTCACCATTAAAAGCCACTAAATCCTCCACACTGGTCCTTTAAAAGCTGCATTATGTTTAGATATAAAATGTTGTTTCTCAAGGAAAAAAAGTAGAGAAGTGTTTCAGATGCATCAATTGTGATGCCTAGCTTCTTCTGAGCTTGAGAAAGATTTTCCTTTTAAAATGCCACAATAGTTTAAATAAATGCTTTATAACCATGGCTTACTTTTGTATTGTCCAGGTTTTAAGACATCAAACTAATCAAATCAGTTACTGTTCCTTCTGCTTCCTGCTCTGAACAACAGTCACTGCACTGTACAGACTCCCTCCAGGGAACAGACTATTTTGTTTGTTTTTTAATGTCTTTATCAGCACACTGCCAGCATGTACTGTATTAATGACTATTTCCTGTTCTTTGTCTATTTGTCTATAAAAAAAAGCTATTTGATGAGAAATGGCACCAACTGCGGCTGCTGGTCACTGAAGAGGATGTTACTCTTTATGTTGATGACCTGGTACTTGAAACGCTATCCCTGGAGCCCCCTGTTGGCATTTTCATCAATGGAAAAACCCAAGTTGGAAAATATGTCAGTAAGGAAACAACAGTGCCAGTAAGTTTATTAATATCTACAACACTATTTTAATACAATGCATGTTGTTTGGTTCCCAGTAAAGTAATTCAGCAGTATGTCAGCTTGACTATAGAAAGAAGGAACAGTTTGTTTAATGAGTATTTGGGAAAACTCAGTACTGATATATGTTTTAAACAGCATCACACAGCACTGCATAGTTTATTGCCGCCTCCTAAGAGACATGCTTAACTCGGTGGTTAATAAATCCTTGGCCAAAAGTTGCCTTTTTTGTCCACAAGGTCCTATTAATCTTCATTTTATTTGTCTCATTTGGAACATTTTGAGCAAAAAATGCTGTATTTGTAATAAATCATAATTGTGCTGTGTTGTTAATTTGCTCTGCAGAAGGCCAAATAGTTTACTGTCTCTTGAACGTTGATGCAAATACATCCCTGCAAACATAATATAAAATTTTAATGTAATTTCAAAATGGAAAAGAGGAATAACTGCATTCTACACAATCCTCTCACTTTAATTGTCAGTATTATGTAACACATTTTATTATGAAACAATAGCATAAATTGACCATTTAAAATACCTCAGACTCACATGTAAGCAATTACGCAGGTTTGGCATTGTCGCACTTGTGGCCATGATGATGGTCAATGAAATAAAATACATGTAAAATAAATTTCAATCAAATAAGGCATATTGTTTTAAAATACAATCCTCAGTACAACTAGCTGTGTGATTATAATATATGTAAAGAAATATATGATTTAATCACTAACATGATTATGTAGCATAAGAAATAATGAGAGAGAGGAAATAAAAAACATTCAGGACTTTTACGTCTGCTATGCCAGCCAGTATGTTGACATATCATTATAGCTGTGGATATTAACAATAACCACAGCTTGGCAGTGACTGTTATTGTGTGTACTGATCCATTATTATAAGGATCATGCAGTTTGAGGCTGTTTAACAAAGTGAATGTACTTATGTAAGTATAATTTCTGGATAAGCAAACTTGTAATTGGAAACAGATTTTTGTAACTGGACCTTTAAAAGTACACCAGAATGGACCACATTACATTAGCATGAACCATTAGACCAGACCCGACATTCTTATCATGGTAAAAGCCTTTGTTATCATTAACAATATGTAAACTATATTGTTTTAGATTTGATTTATGCGGCCAATCATGAAACCATACTAATGTTTTCATGAGGCTGGAAATAATATAAATCACATGTGAGGATCATCTTTCTGCTCACATGGTTACTGAAGTGAAACAGTCTATGGGACATTCTGGAGCCACTTGACCACCAACATCAACAAAATAAGAAATAATGGAAGAATAGTGTAACGTTGTTGCAAAATACTTCCAAAACAATCAGGGAGGTCTGGCAACGTGTATATCCTCAATGCTCAATGAGGCTACTTATCTTTCCTGTTATACAATAGTCATTTCAATTCATTAGTGGCAAAGCACTGATAAAACTGAACTAAGTGCAAAATTACCCCCATATTACATTAGTTTGTTTTGTTAACTAGCTTGGATTCTCCAACAGCAGAGGTTCTGTTTTTAACAAGAAGTTCTTCTTCTTGTTCTTCTTCTTTGTTTTGGTTTAGTTTGAAATTCAGAAACTTCGCATTTACTGTGACCCTGAGCAGAACAACCGAGAGACTGCATGTGAAATACCTGGAGTTGTAAGTATAAGAGTCCGCTTGGCCCTGCACTTGTTTTTCAGTCCAAAAGCAACAAAGATAACTTCTTCTCACCTACTTCTCACCTTGTTCTACTACATCTGTTTCTGCTCTGCACAATTTTATCATCAGTTAACTCCACAATATATACTGAATGGCATACAATTATGCTTGCTTTATATTTCATCAGTACAGTCTACTGTTGTAGTCAAAGTGTAAACTCAGCATATTCAGTTTAAGTCACATCTGTTTATGCATAACATAATTTCTTGGAGGAGGACCCATGGCTCGGCTTCAACCATTTTGCACTCAGTATATTTTTTTTATTGTCTGCTGGCTCTAACCGTGTTTGTGAAGCACTGGCCCGTTGTTATGTTGGCTTAGAAATTGCTATAACCATAAAGCCAGTGCTAAATTACTATTTTTCATGTGACGCTGTTAGATAAAAATATCAAAAGAGACAAGATGAGAAGCCTAAAATTACACATGCTTGCCAACTACCTCCACTTCCCTCAGTTATCAATTTCCCTTTGAATGGAGTATCAGACGCCTTTCAGGCAAAATCTCACAGCATTTGATTTAAAAACAAAAAGACATCCAACTTACAGTACATTTTTGTGATGAAAATGGTTAGTTTCTAGTTTGAACGTATTAATTAAAAAGAAAACACTCCAGGTTTCAGTATTGGGTTTGGGGAAAAGTACAAACATTAGAGCATTTGTTGATTAACTGCTAATTAACTTCTATATTAAGTCTAATTGTCAGAAAATTATGAAAAATGCCCAAGGTGGCATCTTCAGCTGCTTGTTTTGTCCAACCCAACAGTCAAAAAACCCAAAGATATTCCAAAAATGTACAGTTTACAATTGCAGAAGAGCAAATATTTAACTTTAATGGATTATCAAAGTTGTGCCAATATTTTAAAATCTATGGACTAACTGATCAATTGGCTAACTGTTCCAGCTCTAATATGTATAATTCTGTATGTGTGCTCAATTTCTGGTCTTGTCTATTATCTATCAGAGGTTAATTTTGTTCATTACAGTGCTCCAACAGTCCTGATTACACTGAACCAACTGAAGAACCTTGTGTTTGTCCTCCTGGACCCCCTGGACTTCCAGGAATAAAGGTAAGTTATTAAAAAAAACTCTTCATATTATCTTTTTCCTTTCATTCTTATTCTTACTCATACTGCCATTCTAAAAACCATCCTGCAAGCATACACTGTGCTGTGCTGTTCCTGGTTTAGCACAAAGCTGTACCATGTCCAGCTCTTCAGTGTTAGACAGTTAAATATTTACTTTAGACAGTGGTATTCTGTTGAGATGAAAAAAAGAGAAAAACAACTTAATCTTTAACAATTTTGGTTTATGTGTAAACTCAGGAATGAAAAAGAGTCTAAATGGCTTCTGTTGACAGAGTACAAACTTTATCTTCCTTACAGTTTAGCATTGAGGAAGTGTGAGCTGTATTCTCAGGTTATTCTTCTAAATGCTGCTCTCCGTGTCAGATAATGTGATGAGCACATGAGGTTGCACTTTAACGAATAGGTCAAACTCAACTGCAGTCATTACAGCCCATAAACACAGATTTCCTTCGTGCCATGAAACAGTGCTTGCGTGGGGGGTTTTAGCACTTTTATCTTTTAAACAGACACACGCAGTTAGCTGCTCAAAACTTCTTAACGTTTTATGAATTATGAACATGCGTCTTTCCTCCAGTTAGGCAATTTGCCATTGTCAGTAAGTTATGGTTTGTCTTTATTCTCTTGTACAGTACTGTTTGCTTGACGCAAACCAGACCTCTGCCCAAGATAAACACGGGTTAGAATGGAAAATTACCAAAATAGGAAATAAAACCTACATCTCCATCTTTATTGATCACAGGGTATCAACCAAATAATACCAGCTCCGGTCATAAAAGCCTTTATACAAGGACCTCAGAGAGATATTACCTTAGCAACAAAACTCTTTGTTAATAAAACCTACATGGGTTCGAGAATGTTTGTGTTTATAAGGTCACCGCTATGCTTTTACTACATTTACTAATAGATCCAAAATGCTGGGACCAATGCTGGCTTGCAGATGTTCCTTGTAACCCCACATAGTGCTCAAGAACGTCTTACATTAGATAAACTAGCTTGCTCAGCATGTTTTATAGATAAATTAAATCAACACTACACGCCTGGGAAAGCACGAGTCACCAGAAATGTTTTAAATTGATTGGTTTATGCTGCTTCGAGGTTGCATGATCGACAAAGATGCACCGACAACTTGTTTTAGTTACACATTATTAAATTACCTCGTTCCACTTTCTTTAGGGAGAACAAGGAAATACTGGCAAACCTGGTCAGCCTGGACCTACTGGTGCTGATGGTAAGCCTGTGAGTACTACATAGTTCAATATACAAACATACAGAACATAACCACCAACAACACTGTCACAGCAGCATCCACAATAAGCATCTGAGGAAATGCCAAAAACCAATTGAGTTAATGTATCCATTATTTCTGCTTGTTAATTCTATGTGGTCAGGACTGCTTCAGAATGTTAAAAAGCAGTGGTAAATATACTTATTTACTTATTTTTCCAATGGGTAAATAACAGACATCTCTGATTATACCACTGGTGGCAGCACAGTGGTGATTTTGTGTGATGAAAAGCATCCAAAAGTGAACCACATGTTGTACAGCATGATCAAAAACTCAGCCAAAGAATCCGCCCCGCAGCCTAAACAACATGCACACATTAAAATGGTTAACCAAATGTGTGTATCTCTTGTTTGTTTTTTTTACATTTTAAGGGTATCACTGGCGTTAGAGGAAGTCCAGGGCTGCCAGGTCCACCAGGAGTAGAGGTAAATGCAATTTCACCTATTTTACTTGCACTTTAACTTCAGCATCAGGAACAGAAAATTTGATGCTGGTTTTGTTTGTTACTTTTGTCAGGGTCCACGTGGGCCACATGGGTACAAAGGCGAGCAAGGGAGGCCTGGTGTTTCGGTAGGAAGGTCAAACAGCACAACTGTGGCGCAATTGGTTTCATTATCGTGCTGCAGCATTTGTGTCCACTAACACACAATTTTGTAATACAAGTCTGTTTCTTTCAGGGTGAGAGGGGTATGCCTGGATTACAAGGATCGCCTGGACAACCAGGAGAGAAGGTGGTGACGTTAATTTTTTTCATTTCATTTTTTATATGATAATATGGTATCTAGATGTGGTTCAATTTTATTGATCTAACCATGGAAAGTTGGTAGAACTGCTGATCTGCACCGACTGACCAAAGCTGGGAAAAAATTATTGCTGTTGGAAAAACAAGTGATCATATTAAAAAGTACAAAACCCACATTGAATTGTCAAGGTAAATCTTCTTTTTATGAGATCAAAATGTAGGATTAACAGGAAATCCCTGCTAAACACATCAACTTGAACCATTTGAACATCGTTGCATCAATCACTCTAGAAACCATATGTTATTAATATAAAGCCAGATCCCCCGGGAAAGTAAAAAATACCACTTCTATACTGTGGGACAAAAGCACTTTGCAGAGAGAGCATAAAGACCATCAGATACTTTTTACATTTATTTCTTCACTTTTGTTCTGCTCTTTTCTTGGAAAGATCACAGTTTACTTTCTTAGCAATTTTTAGGGAGCCAGAAATGCATCTTGTTTCTCTTATTGCCTTGTTTTTTCTCACTTCCATCTCCTCCTCACCCCTTAACCTCCCAATTACAGTAAGATCTGAGGTAGAGATGGAAATTCTTTTACCAGATGAAACCTGACAGCTCAATATCTTTCACATTCAAGGCTAGGGCGAGAGTCTTTAAGTTCTAGATGACACCAAAACAAATTAGTAAAAAAAAGTATCGAGACGTTAAGAAATGAAATCTTCAGGCAGACTGGCCCACAGTGAGTGGTGCCTCGGCTGGATAACTGCCTCTCCCACTGTTCAGTCACTCAGACTAGAAAACATACATGCAGTCAATGCTGCATGTTAGTAGCAGCTGTCACAAGATATAACAATGTGTAAGAAGGCAGAAGCATATGAGCCAAAAGAAGAAAGCACCTTTGAGATTAGACATGTCAGCTGCCACAACCAGTCCAAAGGAAAGTGGAGCAAACTGATATGATAATCCATAACAAAGGGGAGACAGTCCAGCCGTTTGTGCTTAGTGGTTAATAGAAACACTGTAACCACACAGCAGACTCGAGCATGAGCCTGACAATCACACAGCTTTATCCAGAATGTTTTTATTGCTTTGATATTCATCTGAACAACATTTTGCGTTTAAAGTTATTTTGAGGTACAGTGAGGTAATACATCCTCTCTAGATGGCATCACTTCTGTCATATCATCCCACCCTGTAATTACTGTGACCATGGGGGGCCAGTTGGCTCAAGTGGAGAACAATTCAAGCAGTTAATGCCATTTTGAAAACTGCAGCTGTGAGCAGACACATGTCTGCACCTGGAGCAAATCCTCCTGTACCATCTGTCCTATTATTACAGTTTCACTCAAAGGTCCAGGATGTATTAGATTAAGGTTTTACTGGCGCTTGGGCTGTATTCTTAACTTTCTTTGATTAGGTCAAATACTTACAACGACTTACAAAAACACAAAGAGGGAGAGCACAATGGGAAACAGCACCGCTAAAGATCTGGAGGATTTACATTTTTTTTTTTTTTATTCCCTTTCCAGTTACACTAAAAACATGAAAGGATCATGACTTTTATTGGTCTATCAAAGTGCTCTTTTAAAATCCCATAATTAGACATATAATCACTGTAATGGTCTGAGGTATCATGAATAACGAGATAAGCCTCTAGAAAGTGCACTGCTTGTGATTTTCCATCACTTCTCACATGGCAAACCACAAGTCAACCAGTCAACCGTGGTCAATTTACATTGAGAATTAAGTCTAATACAGTTATTTGTATGAGAATGTTTTCTAAATCTCAAACTAACCAGTGTGGTTTATAGACATTAGCTCTATACATAATTGAGAGTCATATTGTGGATAATACTTCTATATAAATGCAAGATACGTTACATATACAGACATATGTATGACTCAGAAATAGTGCTTGACATCTATATCGTCATACACACAATCAGGTATACCATGAATGTCCCTCATGTGTGGCTCAAAAGGTGTTTGCACTCCAGGAAAGACCCTCCATGCACCACATAACAATCTCTGAAACCAGCAGGAAGTCACTTAAGCTTTTCTCAAAGTTAGAGGGAATCCTGATCTTTTAAAGTATAAGATTCTCTTCGGCTACAACACTGAACACATTCCAAATCTACCTTTCCAAAGTGTTCCCATATTGTAAGACCACCCATGGGTGTAGTCTCATTTTCCTGGCACAGGATCTAGAGAACAGAAACCTGAGATATCTGCTTAATTAAGTCAGAAATACACAATTCAAGGCACAAGAGGAAGAAAGACTATTAAACACTTACAATAATTGCCAATGTTTGTGTATTCACAGTCTGTGATACTTTTTAATGACCACAATCATTCATCACCTTTGTGGGAACATTTTATTGCTAATTAAGTGGGCATCCAGTCTGCACTATTGATATCTGTTGTTCATTATTACTGTAACTAGACCAGCGGCATTCACTTTGAGAGAAATCAGTGTTCCTAACAAGTAACCCGCAGCCCAGCTTTGGGAGTGAGGATGTGTGTGTGAGCATCTGCCTACTGAGAGCAGGCTTTCCTGCACACCTCAGATGTGCGAACACACCAGTCACTGCTCACACTACCAACGCAAGCAGCTGTCCATGTTTTATTCTCCATGTTGTTACACAAACTGATTCTCCCTAGTATTTACAACACAATCCAACAAAATAGTAAAACTTACTGCAGCACAAAGACAAATAAAACACAAACACTACCAGTTGGCTTCCATGATTGTGTCTTTCCTGCCCCGGCTGCAGCTCTTCTAGTCAGCGGCACCCAGATCCTCTAAATCCCTTTTGCTGTGGTTCGTTTGTTTTGGACTGGAATTCCATGTGCAAACACAACTGTCCACAGCTGGAAAGATTTTTGTTTTTGTTTTGATACCAGTGAATTCAGCTCAACTACACTTTGATTAAAATCTCTTTTTATAGACAAAATATTTTTGCAAATGAAGCCACAAAAAAGATTTGGTCACTCACAGACCCTACGAGTCTCTGAGGCAGCCAGTGATATTAAAAAAAACGTCATTTGGTTTTAAGCTATTCAGTCATTTTTTCCCTCCTGAGTTGATTAGCATATCTTTGAATGGTACAATGCAAAATCTGAGAAAATAAATGATGTAATGTCCCGCCTGGTTCCAAATGCTGTTTTTTATTCAGAAAATGTGAAAAAGCAGTGACGCATCATTCCCCAAGTTTTAGCACCATTCAACAGATTCTTAATTGACGTGTAGTTTTAGGTCAACCAGTGCAATGTTAAAAATGCCAGAATGACGCATTGAAACACATCACGCCCTTGAATTTCAATCCAAATAGCTATATTCATTGTCTACCCCAGAAAAACAAGACCACTGCTGACTATTGTCAAACACTGACTGCATATTTGTAACCATGTAGACTTTGCAATGTGCTCTATTAAGGCCTCTTATCCCACACTGTACAACTTCTATAAATACACCTCTTGATCTGATTGACCAAGAGTGGTTAAGGAGTTTTGCTAGCTTACCTATATTACAAACATGGAGGATCAGTGACAGATTCATCACTGTCTGGAAGTTTAGATAAGCCAGGCCAGCATAGACCATGCACAGCAAGAACTATTATTAGATCAAATCCAATAATAATTTCCAAATCTTTTCACTTTTCTCAGGGCTCAATAGGATCCCCAGGAATTGCAGGGGTGTCAGGAAAAGCTGGTCAAGTGGTAAGGGTGCAGACAATCATAATGGCTAAAAACACCTCAATGACTGAACATGACATAATATAACAATTTAAACTGGATGTCATGACCTTTCCAGGGACAAAAAGGAAGTATAGGACCTCCTGGGCCACCTGGTTATCGAGGAGAACCTGTACGTATAAAACAATTCAGAATCAAATCTAAAGCTTGTGTCATCATAATCATTTGCAAAATCCTTTTCTGTGCTTTCAGGGCCCATCTGGGAGAGATGGAAAAGATGGATTTCCAGGGATACCTGGTCAAAAGGTCTGTTTGTTTTGACAGTACATAACAGTATGTTACACAGCTCATTCAAGGATTAGGAGAATAATAGAAGCATGAGGTTGGCTAAGTGTGAGCCTTCTCAACAGACTTTGCTGTTCCCAAAAGTTGTGTTGTTGATGTTTGGCAACCATGGAAATGTAGTCATAGAGCCCTGGTGTCCCCTTTGTCTTTTTCCAAACCCCATTAGACATCTTTTGTAAACATCAAAAGCGTTCTTCACATTTTATATAGATATAAATCTACCATGACATGTAAAAAGTATGCAACAATGTGCACGTAGGGCTCATCACAAGGAATTTAGATTAAAATTATATGTATTAATGTTTTTGTTTCTCTAATGTATTAAGGGAGAAGTTGGAGCCAATGGTATTCCTGGTGCTGACGGAAGGGAAGGCCATCCTGTGAGTCATAAACACAGACATATCATTGTACATATTTGTGTATTTTGCAGGATTTTTTAGCTGTTACTATTGTTTTACATCTTTAATTGAGCTCTTGGAAATTGAGGATTTGACACAAATTGTGCATGAATGAAATATGACATGTGCTGTCACACTAAGTTAAGGTTTAAACTTTCCAGCAAAGCAGAATAGAAAGAAAAGAGGGAAATTTATGTATGTGGTGCTTTCCATTATGGTTTACAAAGTTCTTCTCACACAAATTGAATTTGACATGATATAATACTGAAAGTATCAGACGAGTGAAATGGGCAATACTGTACAAGAGCTGATTTCATGGATCACGCAGAGTTGCATGCATAACGTTTTTTACTGTAGTAGAACAGCAGCGTGTTAACATACTGTCAGCAGTACAGAGAGTACCCCTGACAGCCCGTAAATTAGGGGTATTTCCCCTGTAGTTCATCCCAGGATAACCATGTTATGTAACAAGCAGGCTCGGGCTATAATCTAAGGCAGTAAAAGTAACTCATCGAAGGGAATGCTGTGGTGCTCTGGCAAATCTGTTTTAGGAAGAAAGTGTTTCAACTGGGCAGCCACCCCACTGATCATGATTATAAGTGTCGTCCAAAAGTTTGTGATGGGTCTACAAAAGATGAGTCAGTTGCTCCACAAGGCTGTAAACTATTTTCCCCCACCAGAACAATAGAGTTAGCAATGTCTCCAAGGAGACAGGATTAGTACTGTACTTCCTGAAGTTATAACAAGATGAAGTTAGCACTTCAGCGTTACAGGGATTTCTTCACCTATAGGTTGAGTGTGAGTGTCTGGGTGGCTCTATCCATATTTCAGTTTCTCTGCCTGCCTGTCTAATCTATTCACTATGCACATATGTTACTCAAACTTTAGTCTGAGGCAACCACTAAGCATCTGCAAACATTTATCTCAGAAAAAAATAACTAAAACAAAAAAAGAGGCTTTCCAGGGTAGGTCTGCTGCATGTGTTGAACCACATAAACTTTCAATGTATTAAACCATTTATTAATAAATCTGAATCTGCTTTTATTCTTTTTTCGCAGTGCAATTTGAATAGCAACTACTTTTTGTATTATTGCATTTATCAGAAAATAAAACACATGTGCACAGTTCAATTGGAGGACAGATGATTCGACTAAGGATTGTACAGTTTGACACAGTAATGAAACGCTGAGATGGTGCTCTATTGCTGCACAGACTGAAGCAGTTTATAAAAAAACATGTAATGAAATATTTTTTTCAAGTGATTATATTCACAAATGTATTAGCAGGATTCTGGCCTTAAAAAAGCTTCAAAATGATGTTTCTCGACTTTTCCTGTTTACAACTAGCGAACCATAACTGGGGAATCTACATTTTGGTAGACATTTCTGGATGCACCATGTTAGTTCAATGAGTTGCTTTTATTGAGCAACTGGCTACAATTGTTACTGACACAATGAAGTAATTATTCCACTGTGAATGGAAGTAAACTGAGACCTGTTTCTAGTATCAGTTCAGAAAGAGTGCATATGAGAACATACGGTTTTATGTAAAATGTTACACAGGAATTCAATGTCATGGTTTTTTCTTCAATACATTGATCTGCTGTACAATATAATCTGTTTTCTTGCTCCCAGGGTATGCCTGGATTACCAGGAATTGCAGGCCTGGATGGACAAAAGGTGAGCTCCTGCCTATGCAACAAATATTAATGCAAAATAAACAGATTGACTGACATGATTCTCATTTAAGGGGGAAGCTGGTTTGCCTGGACCTAGGGGCTTCACAGGATCAACTGGACTGCCTGTAAGTCAACAGCTGTTGGACTATTTGTGTATAATAACCAGGGTTAATATTGAATCTAAAGAGTTCCCAAAACAATTTCTTCACTCTCCTGCAGGGTGACATGGGGTTACCTGGTGCACCTGGTTTAAAAGGACCAATTGGACCTAAGGTAATTATTTGTCCCTGCTAGAAAATTCCCTTTGAGCTTCTTTAAACAGCTGTATTGTTAGTGATACAAAGGTAAAATGAGGCCAGCAGAAATAATGACTGACTTTCATCTTACAATCAGACATCAAAAAAATGTAATACAGTCTTTAAAATGGATAAACTGTTCACAAAATATAATGTGAGTTTATCCCCCCTCTACACTCCTTGGGCTGTGTGCACAGTCGCTCATACTGTGACCCAGAAAAGTCAATACTGCAGACAAATCCACACAAGCTGGCATCAGCAACCGACAAGCTGCAGGCCAAGCCATGTCATGACTTAAGTTGAGTCCAAGCACAATGTCTTACAGTTACAAGGCTGCTAACAAGTATGGCGGATAAGGGTGGCGTGATGTTACGTGACATTACGTTCCTATACCCTATATTGTCTATACAAAATGTATTGTAGTGCACAGTGTTGTTAGTTTGGATAAACTTTGGTTAAATCTTTGAAGCTTTCTAACCACACAGTAGATTCCAATTCATAGAAAGCTGTTTGGGTCAACAGCATTGCATGTTTTGTTTGGTCACTCTTTTTCTAAAATACACATTAGCACAAGTACTTTCTCTTGGCCACACCGGCATTGCTAAATTAAGCAATGATCCGGCCCTACTGCTTTCGTCAGTGGAATTTTAGTGGAAATGTAAGCAGTCTGGGCTTGTCTGGTCTGGACGCTCTGTCTCCTAATCACTTTTCATTAGCTGATCTGCTTTTAACAAGCCAATGTGTATTGGTAAATGGCACACAAGTGAAAAGCTAGTTTATGGACAGGCAGGCAATACTTTGATTTTATGGCTGAGATTCAGACTGCAATTACTGAGGCTTGTTCAACTGGAAAAGAAAGCATACGACTAGACACAATTAAACATTAAGTTGCAATACACCCTAACCTCATGAAAAGTATGCTGCAGTCCAGTCAGTGATATGATGTGGTTTGGATGTTATTTCATTGTATGTTTTCTGTAACATAAGTCATTTTATTTTTTAATCAAGGGGAATAAAGGCGAATTTGGAAGTCCAGGTATACAAGGAACACCAGGGCCTGTGGTATGTTTCCATTTAAATAATCTAATATGAAACAGGTGGCTTTATGTCTGATTTAAAATGCTGTAATACTGTACTGCGTTTAATGTAACAATATTTAGTATTTAAGTATTTTTGGAGCTTTTACTTCCTACAGTATATAAATAAAGTGTGTTCTTATTTTAATGATTGGTTTTAAATTGAACACTATTAAAGGGGAATGCAGGGGAACCAGGAAGAGAGGGTCAGCCAGGGCACCCGGGCATGCCAGGCCTGAAGGGCAGCAAGGTATTTCCACTATAACATCTCTTTTCATTCAGTTAAAACCCTTTCTGATATATGATTCCTGATCATGAAAATTGTTGTTAATAAGCCAGATGTGAGAGCTCTTCTCTGTTATATATTGTACACTGATGAGCCATAACATTATGGCCACCTGGGCACCCTGACTGGTTTGTGGCTACGCAGCCCCTGACACCTTTCTATTAGAACCAGTATGAACTCTTTCAGCAGTTTGAGCTATAGTAGCTTGTCTGGGCCAGCATTCACTCTCCATGTGCATGAATGAGCCATGGCCACCAATGACCCTGTCGCTGGTTCACCGCTTTTCCTTCCTTGGACCACTTTTGATAGGTACTGACCACTGCAGACTG